AACCACAGAAAACCCTGGGGTTGGAGATCATCTTATTTTCAGAGTTAATACATTATTATTATCAATACTCAGCCACATATAACATTCATTATAAGTATAAAACTCAATACTCCTGTTTTCAATAATAGTAATAATAACAACAAAAATCAGAAAAAAACTATGGCCCACTCAAGAAAACAAAATAAATGGACAGAAACTGTCCCTAAAGAAGTCTAGACAAAGACTTTAAACAAGGGTATTAAATATGCTCAAAGAGCTAAGGGAAAACATAAAGAATTAAAGAAAATCAGGAAAATGATATATGAACAAAATGATACTATTAGTAAGCAGAAATTATCAAAGGAACCAAACAGAATATTTGGCATTAAAATGCCAAATAATTGAAATGAAAACTTCACTAGAGGGGCAAAGCAGACAATTTGAGCAAGCACAAGAGAGCATAGGTGAACTTGAAGATAGAACAATTCGAATTATAAAATCTAAGGATTAGAAAGGAAAAAAGAAGAAGGAAAGTAAAGAGAGCCTAAGAGACTCCTGGGACACCACCAAATGAACCAGGTATGTGTTATGGTATTTTCAGAAGGAGAAGAGAGACAGAATGAGGTAGAAAGAATATTTGAAGAAATAATAGTTCAAAATTTTGCAATCTGCTGAAATATTTAAATCTACAAATTCAGGTCGAACAAACTCCAGGTATTATAAACTCAAATAACCCCCAACAAGACACATTATAATCAAACTGTCAAAACTAAAGGCAATGAGACAATCTTGAAATGAGCAAGAGAGAAGTGTCTAGTCATGTACAAGGATCCTCAATCAGATTAATAGCCAATTTCTCATAAAAAACTAAGGAGATCAGAAGACAGTGTTATGATGTACTTAAAGTGCTAAAAGGAAAAAAAAATAACCTTTCAACCAAGAATCCTGTATCAGACATCATCCTTCAGAAATGAGGGAGAAATTAAGATGTTCACAGATAAACAAGAGCCATGGAAGTCTGCACCACTAGATCTTCCAAAGAGGAAATGCTAACCGGAGTGCTTCACATTGAAACGAAAGGACACAAAACAGTAAGTCAAAGCCATATGACAAATTAAAGGACTTTGGTAACGGTAAATGCATGGGCAAATATAAAAATCATTAAACCATGATATAAATCATTCTATTATAAAGATACATGCATGCATATATTTATTGCAGCACTATTCACAATGGCAAAGACATGGAATCAACCTAAATGCCCAGCAATGATAGACTGGATTAAAAAATGTGATACATGTATACCATGGAATACTGTGCAAAAAAAAAATGAGATCATGTCCTTTTCAGGGACATGGATAGAGTTGGAAGCCATTATCCTCAGCAAACTAACATAGGAACAGAAAACCAAACACCACATGTTCTCACTCATAAGTGAGTTTGGTTTTGAATTCCACTTTTTATTTGTTTTTTAATTCCACTTTTTATTTGCTACAGGATTCGACAGACAAATGCATAAAAATGATTATAAATATGTGAAATAACATCTCACAAATGAGATAACTTGGATGAAATAGACACATTTCTACAAACGTACAAATTATCTAAACTTCCACAGAAGAAATAGGAAATCTGAATAGATCTATAACAAGTAAAGAGATTGATTCAATAATAAGACTCTCCCAACAAAGAAAAGTACAGGACCAGATGACTTCACTGGCAAATTCTACCAAATATTTAAAGAAGAATTAATCAATCTTTATCACACTCCACCAAAAAATAGAAGAGGAAGAAACACTTCATAATTCATTCTATGAGACCAGAATTATCCTGATGCCAAAGCCAAAGACGCCATAAGAAAATAAAACTACAGATCATACCTTTAAGAATATGATGTAAAAACCCTCAGCAAAATATTAGCAAACTATATCCAACAGCATGTAAAATCATGACAAAGCGAGATTTATCCAAGGAATACAAGTATAATTCAACATAAGAACATCAATCAATATAATATACATTAATAGAACAAAAGAAAAAAGACAACATAGGATCATCTCAACTGATGTAGAAAACTTCATCAACATTAAGGGCATTTATTTAAAAACTGACAGCTAGCATCATATTCAATGGTTAAAGACTGAAAGCATTTTCCATAAGATCAGAAACAAAACAAGGATTTCCACTTTGGTCACTGCTATTTATTTTATACTAGAAATTCTAGACAGATAATTTAGACAAGAAAAGGAAATAACAGCCATTCAAATTGGAAACAAAGAAGTAAAACAATCTCTATTCAGAGATGATATGATCCTATACATAGAAAATCCTAATTAATCCTTTAAAAAAAGAAAAAACTACTACATGTAATAAACAAATTCAGCAAAGTTGCAGGGTATAAAGTCAACACATAAAAAATCAGTTTCTTTTTTTTTGAGATGGAATTTCACTCTTGTCGCCCAGGCTGGAGTGCAATGGCGTGATCTCAGCTCACTGCAACCTCCACCTCCCGGGTTGAAGTGATTCTCTTACCTCAGCCTCCTGAGTAGCTGGGATTACAGGCATGTGTCACCACACCCAGCTAATTTTTATATTTTTAGTAGAGATGCAGTTTCACCATGTTGGCCAGGATGGTCTCAATCTCTTGACCTTGTGAACCTTCTGCCTCGGCCTCCCAAAGTGCTGGGATTATACAGGCATGAGTCACTGCACCTGGCCAAAAATCAGTTGTGTTTCTATACACCCCCAATGAACAATCCAAAAAAGATAGTTACAAAAGCAATTTCATTTACAATAGCATCTAAAATAATAACATGCCTTCTAAAATAATAAATTTAATGAAGGTGGTGAAAAACTTGTATACTCGAATCTACAAATCATTGCTGAAAGAAATTAAAGACTCAAATAAATGGAAATACATTCCATGTTCATGGATAGGCAGATTTAATATTGTTAAAATGTCAACATTAGTCAACCTGGTCTGAACATTCAGTGCAATTCCTATAAAATTCCAATGGCCTTTTTTGTAGACATGAAAAATTTTGTCCTATACTATTGGATATAGAAAAAATCAAAATAGGGTGCACATAGTTTTGAGAAATGAATTACAAATATATAAGAATTCAAAACCTGTAACATGACCAAAGAAGACTTTAAAGGACAAGTTATAATCTTTAATTTATTCATAGAAAAAGTATGAAATGTTGAATATCTTTTGTATTTTCAGCTCAAAAAATTAGAAAAGTTTGGTTAAGCAAACTTAAAGAATATAAAAAGTTTAATGAATGAATAGATGGCTATAGGAGCGAATAGCAAAGCACCCAACATATAAAGTCCCATGCACCACCATCTCCCCACATACACCAATGCAAAATCTGTAGCAGGTAGTTTTATATAAAAAAGGCAATAGAATAGACAATTTTGGCAACTATGATAAGGAATGAAGAGAGGTCAGAAAAATAATAATAGCACATGAATTACAATCTTATGCAATATCATTATATTCAAAATCTGGAATAAAATGAACAACTTTCTAGAAAAATATAATCCATCAAAATTGGCCTAAGAATAAATTTAAAAATTGGAATGAACCAGTAGCCATAACAGAAAGTAAGATAGAGTAATCATTTATACCCACAAAAGGTACTAGGATCAGAGTGTTTTATGGCCACATCAAACCTTCAAGAAGTAGCTAATCTTTACTTTAATAGAAACTATTGCAGACAGTACAAATAAATGGTAAAGTTTTGACTCATTCTACAAAGTCAGCAGTACACTGATGCCAAAGATTAAAATCAGCTAAGAAAAAATTCTAGACCCATCTCACAGTAAATACCTTTTTTTTTTTTTTTTTTTTGAGAGAAGGTCTCACTGTTGCCCAGGCTTTGGTGCAGTTTTGGCTCATTGAAGCCTTGACCTTCTGGGATCAAGAGATCTTTCCACATTAGCCTCCTGAGTAGCTGGGACTACAGGCATATGCCATCAAGCCCAGCTAAGTCAGCTTTTTTTGTAGAGACAGGATCTCACCATGTTGCCCAGGCTGCTCTCAAACTCCTGGGCTCAAGCGATCCTCCCACCTTAGCCTCCCAAAGTGCTGGAATTTACAGGTGTGAGCCACTGCACCCAGCTTAAATGCCTATTCTTGGCATCAATAGATTAAAAGAGCAAAACTATATGATCCTATCAAGAGTTACTGCAAGCATTTCAATAAAATCAATAATTATCTATAATTTTTTTAATTAAGTAAATCAGCTATAAAAGGTAACTTTTCAAATCTGGTGTAATACATCAACCTAAAATCTCCAGGCCAGGCCACAAATGCTGTAGTGAACCATTATAAGCATTTCCAACCAAACCAAAACCAAGAAAAGATCTGGCATCATTTCTACTGGAGGTTCCAACCATTGTAAGAAGACAAGAAAAATAAATAAAAGATAAAATATGGGAAGAGAGTGATAAAATAGTCTTTACTAGAAGAAAATATTATCTTTTATCTAGAACTGTCAAAATAGTTGATAAACTACTAAAAATAAATTCTATAAGATGACTGGATATAAGATCAATGTGCAAAAATCAATAGCTGTGACTAATTAGCAAATGCAATTTTAAAAATCTCTTTTGAATAGACCTAAATATTGAAAAGTGCCCAGGTATAAATCTACAAGGAATGCACAGGTCTTTCTGGAGAAAGGTTTGATAACAAATGGTTTTTAGATAAGCTAAAAGAGATTTCTAAGTCCCATTTACAATCCTAAGGAAAACTATGCTTTTAAATTTGTGTTCTTGATATACTGCATACCAACTTCACTTCACAGTAGCTGTATTTTTCTGCATACAACAAAGCCAGTCAGAAATAAAACAAAACAACAAAATATCCACACTGACAAACAAATAAATGTTGATTGACGGGTGGGGATTCCTGTCCCCAAACACCTGGCCCCCCTTAGTTGGCAGAGCATTTTCTTCCTTGTGTGGAATAGAAGCCTTCATCCTGCCCACAAAGCCCTGCACTGTATTCCTACCTTGTTGTGAGACTAGTCCCCATCCTGTAGCCCAGCAATTGGCACTGGTAAGGTCGACTTCTGGAGTTGCAAGGCAGACCGGGAGCACGGAGTCAGAAAACACAATGCGGGTCTTCAGCTGCACCAGGGCCACGTCACCTCCGACGGGGTGGTACACCTCATATGTGGGGTGCAGGATCACCCTGTTCACCTCATACCACTGGGTGTGGTTGCCGGCCACCCTGAGGTTTACAAGGCCTACGTACATGTCATAAATTTTGATATTCTTGTCCCTGTGGGGGTGAGAACAGAGGCACAATGCCCGGAGCTTCCTGTGTGGTCAGCCCACAAGCCTGGGGACTCCAAGCACAGGGGGCTGGTGCTCACTCAGTGAGATTGAAAAGCCAGCTTCTTCCTGCAGCATAGTAGGGACCTATCTGGCTGTCTGGCAGAGTTGCCCCCTAAGGAGTCGACTTGGCCCATGGAGGCTCTGGGGACCCAAGTCTGTACACAGCCACCAGCTGTGCAGGCCAGCAGCCCATGCATGTGAGACTTGCTCTCACTCTTAGATAACCTGGCTGCACACATCCTTCTGGAGGCCAGATGGCCACAGGAGAGGCATGCCTGCTGTGCGGGGCAGCTTTGGTGAATGGGGCTGTTGGAGGAGCAACCGGGAAGGCCAGGTGCTTAGAGACCAGCCTTGCTCATGGGGACCTGGCTGTGCACTTGAGGACCAGCCTCACTTGTGGGAATCTGGCTGTGCCCTTGAGAACCAATCTCACTGGTGGGGACCTGGTCGTGCACTTAGGGGACCAGCCTTGCACGTAGGGACCAGGCTGTGCATTTGAGGACCAACCTAGCTCATGGGAACCTAACCATACACTTAGGGGATCAGCCTTGCATGTGGGGACCTGGCCGTGATCTTCGGGACTGGTGTCAACTCTTGAGGACCTGGTTGTGCACTTGGGAGACCTGCCTCACGGATGGGGACCCAGCTGTGTGTTTGGGGACCAGCCTCACTGGTGGGGACCTGGCCTTGTGCGGGTGGACAGTGGTGAAGAGGGCCGACAGTAGTGAAGGGGGAGGCTTGCGTGGGGTCCATCCAAGCTGCTGTGGGCACGCCGTGCAGGCCCACCTACCCACACCATCCCAGGCCCGCGCCCCCTCACCGGCGAAAGCAGTGCGCAGCCGACAGCACCCAGTACTCATTGAGGATGGAGCCGCCGCAGATGTGCAGGCCCGCGTAGTGCACGCTGACCTGCCACGGCCACTTCCTCTCCGGCGCAGGGACACCGCCCAGGATCTTCCCCTCCATGCTGGGTCGACCACAGGCTGCAGGGAGAACGGAGCTCACGGTGGAGCCACGCTGGAGGCACGGGAGAGGTAGGGCAGGCAGGGGATGCGGGGGAGGGGCAGAGGACACAGGAGGAAGGGAAGGCAGTGGACATGGGGGAGGGGCAGGGGCAGGCAGGCGACATAGAGGAGGAGGCCCGGCACGTAGAGAGGCCCCAAGGGCAATGTCTGCAGCCGCCCGCCCGCCCCTGGGGCAGGGCCTACCCACGCTGCCAGTCAGGGAGATTCCCTGGTTCTCTGGGTGTCTGTGGACCGAGGCTGCGACCCGGGGAGGGGGCACCACCAGGAACAGCAGCAGAAGGCCCAGGGCACAGGGTCCGTGTGGGCCCATGCCGGAAGCAAGGGCCGCCATGAGGCTCGAGGCAGCGCCCCCAGCCGGTGACTAGTTCCTGACAGGTGACTGTGTCTCCAGCACAGGATTGCGCCCCCACCAGGTGGCTGCACCCCAACATGTGACTGGCTCCCACCAGGAGATGGCATTCCCAGCAAGTGAGGGTGCCTGACCTGGACATGTGACTGCACCCCCATCACATGTCTGTGTCTTGTCCATTTACCTCTCCCGACCTGGACACATGATGGCTCTCAAGCTGGACATGTGACAGTGCCCCAACCATACCTCATATGCCTAGGTGTGGCATTCCATTACACAATCAGGTCTAAACACAGTGGCCCATTTGAGAATTCTGTGTTTTAAATCGTGATGCTCTCAGTTTTCTCCGTGGCACAACTTAATTCTGTAAGGTCAATGACAATTTATACAACTGCCACCCAGCTATCAAAAAAAAAGAAAAAAGGAAAAAAAAAAGGAAGGAAAGAAAAGAAAAAGAAATAGGCCAGGCATGGTGGCTCATGCCTGTAATGCCAGCACTTTGGGAGGGTGAGGCAGGTGGATCACTTGAGGTCAAGAGTTTGAGACTAGCCTGGCCAACATGGCAAAACCCTGCCTCTACTGAAAATACAAAAATTGGCTAGGCATGGTGGTGCACAACTGAAATCCTGATTCCTTGGGAGGCTGAGACAGGAGAATAGCTTGAACCTGGGAGGCAGAGATTGCAGTAAGCCAAGATCACACCTCTGCACTCCAGCCTGGGTGACACAGCGTTCCCCGTCTTGCTTGACACCATGTAAACCTTGCTCCCCCTTCCATTTTCTCCATGATTGGTGAAGGCCTCCCCAGCCACTGAACTTGTGAGACCATTACCGTCCTTTTCTTATAAATGTACCAGTCTTCAGTATGTCTTTATCCAGCAGCATAAAAAAGGACTATACAATGCCAATGTGTCCATTTGTCTATTTTTATTTGTTGCCTGAGCCTTTGGTATCATATCCAAATTCCTGCCCTAACCCAATGTGTGAAGTTTTCCCTGTATTTTCTTTCTGTAGTTTCTTATATTTCAGGTCTAAGTCTTTAACCCAGTTAGTTATTTGTGCAGGGTGTAAGAGGGTGCAATTTTATTCTCTGCATGAGAAACCAGTTCTCTCCCAGCATCACTTTAGTGAATAGTCCCCCTCTTTTCCCAATGTATGTTCTCAAGCGTTTTTGTCAAAATCAATTGACTATAAATGCATAGGTTTATTTCTTGGCTTTCCATAATGAGATTCCATTGTCAGTAGTCTGTTTTTGTTGGTTGTTGATTTGTTTTGTTGGCCAGAGATCATTTCTTATTTTGATGCTTGTCCCATAATATATTTTTTGAAAAGGTTAGTAGTGTGATGCTCTAGCTTTATTCTTTTGCTCAAGAATGTTTTGACAAATTTGAGTCTTCCTGTGGTTCATATGAATTTAAAGCGATTATTTTGCTTGACATTTCATGAAAATGACATTGGAATGTTTATATGAATTGCTTGGAATCTGTAGATGCTTTGGGTAGTACAGACATTTTTACACAATGTTAATTCCCTTTACCCATAACCATGGGATATCGTTTACATTTATGTTATTTTCTTCTATTCTTCACAAGGTTTATAGTTTTAGTATACAATCTTATAAGAAGTATGATAATAAAAATATGAATATAAATAACCAATAAAATAGTAATTTTGGTTATGTTCAACTAATTGTCAATGGAATTGTGTTCTTAATTTCTTTCTTCAGATAGCTTGTTATTAGTGTATAAAAATGCCACTAATTTTTTAATTATGATTGTCCTACAACGTTTACTGAATTTATCATTCTAACACTTTGGTGATCTTAATTTTCTTTGGTATAATATCATGTCATCAACCAGAGACAATCCACTTTTCCCTTGCCCAAGTTAGGAATATCTTTTTAATTTCTGTCTTCTGCCTAATGCTTCCTGGCTAGGATTTCCAAACTATGTTGAAAAAAAGTAATTAGAGTGGGCATCCTTCTTGTCCCTGATTTACAGGAAGCCTTCAACTCACTTGAGTTATATGTAGCTATGCTTTTCCGTATATCTTTTAATTGTGTCAGGTATATTGCATGTATACTATTAATGTTAACAAATGTTACATAAAGGTAATTGAAGTTTAGGCTGGGCATGGTGGCTTACACCTTAAATCCCCCAGCACTTTGAGAGCTGAGGTGGTAATCATCCTGAAGTCCAGGAGTTCTCAAGACCAGCCTGGCCCAACATGCCGAAAACCCCAAATTTCCTTTCCACCCTACTAAAAATACAAAAAAATTAGCCAG